ATATATATATATATATATATATACACATGAACATTTTCTGAATATTATATCATATGAACCTGGTTGGTTTGTAGAAATATTTACAAAAAAATATATAAATAAATAAAAATATGACAACAAATCCCTACCTGATCCTGGAAAGCGTTAGCTTGCTCTTCAAATCCTGTAGCTTTAAAATAATTGACCACATCCGCTACGGCCCAGTGGGCTGGATCAGAAAGCTGCCCGTTCTCCACAGAACTGTTAGGGAGAGAAAAAGATTTCACTGATGCATTAGCATGATTTAACCAAATACTGTACGTCTATACAATCTTCAAAAGAGTTAGTCCACCCAAAAAAGAACGTCTTGTCATCATTTACTCACTCTCATGTTGTTCCAAACCCATAAGACTATTGTTTATCTTCGGAACACAACTGAAGATATTTTTAATGAAATCTGAGGGATTTCTTCTCCCTCCATTAAAACTCGGACACTTCAAAACATGCATAAAGAGATCATAAGAAAAATCCATATGAATCAAGCAGTTTGAATCGACATGAGGGTGAGTAATTTTCACTTTCGGTTGAACTAACCCTTTAAATCTACAGTAAAATATCACTAAATAGGTGTCCTGAGAAATCACACTGTCTCTGTAACAGCACAAAAGAATATGGGAGCTTTGTATTTATTTATTTTTTAAGCCAAATAGACACTGTTCTCTGCATTTTACACATTTGTATATGCTGATATTGGGTTGACTGAAATGTATTTGGAGGGCAGAGTTTTTGAGAGAGGGTCTGTGCTGAAATTGCTTATAAAATTTGCACAAAAGATCTTAAGGAAAAAAAAAATCAGATCTTTAACAAGTGACACTTTGTGAACATAAAATCAGTGCTGATTCCTTTGACAACAGTTGCCATACAAACAATTATTTTCAGTCTGGTTGCCATGGCTCTTCCCTTGGAAAATAACCATAGACTGTATAAAAACATGGACGTAGTGTCCGTGACGTCACCCGTAGGTTTCCGAAGAGCATTTTTGAAGCTCAAAAGTGGGCGGAGGCAGCCGTCGCCATCTTGGCAGCGCGTCACTCCCGGATAATCGAAAATGGGCAAAGAGGCGGGAGCAGGTTGCTGAAGCCACGCCCACCTAGCTCGACGGTGGTGACAGCAGCGGCAATCCACCTGTCACTCAAGTGGCCACGCCCTTAATTATGCAGAACTTTAAGGCTTAATATAATTTAAACGGATGAGTTATAAAACAAAATCACCCCCCTCACAGTTGTCATCAAGGGCAAAATTAGCTATATAGACCAAAACCATTTTTTGTACCAGGCTGTAAACATGTTTTTTTTCTGCTGTAAAGTTGGGCATTTTAACATGGGGAGTCTATGGGACTGACTCCCTTTTGCAGCCAGCGGCCAGTTGATGAATTACAGTTTAAGTCACTTCCTTGTTGGCTTCACCAGAGAGAGCGGGAGGTTGCCGCTTGAAAATAACTCAGCCAATGTGGAGCATATTTATTTAAATGTGATTTTTTTCCCCCCTCAAGAATTGTTTTACACAAACTGAAGGCAGAAAATGAATTATTTCTAAAAATGGTCCATTAATTGGGAAGACGAAATTAAAAATCCTTAAATTCTACATTGTTTTCATTTCTACAGGGGAAGCAACAGCAACTTCGAGGATGGCTAAACAAATGGATTGAGAAGGCAAGCTCTACTTTTCTGAGTCAGAGCCAGTGATGAAAATACCGTACTGGCCCGAATATAAGACGACCCTGATTATAAGACGACCCCCCCCTTTTTCCAGATGTACCTTTTGGAAAAAAGGCTTTTTAAAAACCAAATCTTGTTTTTTCTCAGTAAAACACATTTTGTTTTCAATTATTTTCAAAATATTGCATATTTTTCCTATTTTAATTTTAGTTTTGAAAGTATGGTAAAAATTGGTAAAAGGTACCAACAATCATATTTAAAAAATATCCACTTTCTGATATAACATTAAAAAACAAAACAGGTAGCCCATCTGAAGAGAAGGGTATAACTGCAGCCTGGAGATCTCCAAATGGGGGCGGGAACACCAAAACGGGGTGGGAGCTCCAAAATAGGGCGTGGCTTCCTCCCATTGACAGACAGGCACATGACACCCATGCGCAATTTTTTCTCCCAATCCACTTCAGTGCAAGCTCCGCCCCACAGCTGATTCTAAAGATTGTATTGGTTGTGTCAATCACAGTGTTGATTTCCTACACTATGCTACAATAAATGCTAACCCTTAAGCCTACCCCACACCTGACCCTAACCTTAACCAGTGAAATTGACTGTACGGCGGGACTGGCGCTGAATAGCGTGGTAAAGAAAGTTGCAGTTCAGGAGATAAACGGTTGATAAGATTATACGATCTGAGATCGTTCCGTAACTCCCCAACCGGACCTCCCCAAACAATGGCACCTTTTTAGTTACACCCAGCATCACTACCCCCTCCTACCCTGTGAATTTTGAGCCCCGTTGGCTAAAACAAAGCAATAGAGTAAAATCTTTCCCCTGCACTGCATTGAGCTCGTGGGTGATTCCCGTTAATTAAGCAGCGGTTCAAACTCCGGTCCGAACAACACTGGCCACGAGCTTTGGGCTCTGCTCTCACAGAGAATATTTATTTATATAGCATATTTTATTTTAGATCAATTAGAAACAATGTTTAATTTATAAAGTTTTATTTTGAAATGTAAGTCAATAACAATTGGCCGAAGCCAGAGCCAATGGTGAAAGTCTTTGCGCAAAGAGACCCCTCCCCATTTTGGAGGTTCTGCCCACTTTTGGAGTTCACGCCCCATTTTGAAGATCTCCGGTCTGCAGCTATACCTACTTGCATCTGAATTAGGACATTTAGGCTATCCATCTAATAGTAGCCTACCAAAATCTTATTAACAGTAGAAGTTAAATCTTATTGTAGTCTTCAAATCTGGGTACTGTCTTACGTTTTAAAATCACAAAGGGAGTTTGGTCCCATCAGGCTAACGTGACAGTCACAGTAAGGTTTTCTTTTTCTTTAGTTTTTACTTGCGATCTTTACAACACGCATTACATTACGTATTTCATGGCACACTCGTTTTATGCGTATTTGGCACCACCTATTGTTGTGGGTGTATTATTGACATGTCAAAGTCTAGACCCTGAATATAAGACGACCAAGTTTTTTCAGATGTATTTCCAAGAAAAAAAACATTGTCTTATATTCGGGTCAATATGGTACTATTTCTGGCCTACTGGTTTTGATGAGTATTGTCAAAATCCCTTCATGTGTAACATGAAAGATTCCTAAATGTTTCTCACTCAAATTTAATTGTTAAAGATTTCGACTCAACTCGAACCCAACATTACTGTATATACACCTACCTTTTGGTGTCCACTGAACCATTTTCCTTGGTTTCCATGACTGCTGGATAAAATAATAATAATAATAAAACAAAGTTTAATACATTCAATTTTAATCTATCATCACTGTTGTAGATTCTAAGAACTACTACAGTATGGGAGATGCATTATCAAAATTCAATCAACTGTGTCATGTTTAAGCAAATTCTAAATAATTTCTTGAGGTGCATAACAGAAGCTCTGCATTCATGTGAACAATAATCATCTTATTAATCTGATTAGCTCTGATCTATTAGCTCTCACCTGTTTGTCAGAGAGCTGAGACTGCTCTATTCCATTAGATGTGTTGAGTTGTCTCCTCATCAGTCTCCTGCTGTGCAAAGCTGCCCCATCTTCCAGAAAGTTTATGAATATATCTTGGTGTACTTAGAGAATTGATTCTGCAAAAAAAATTTAAGATCTGAGCAATAAAAAAGATGATCAAGCATTTATAGTTCAGCAAGTAGTTCAGTTCAGGTCAGTAAGACAAGAGAGACATGTTAAACATGCAAAACTGTGAAATACATCGTAAACTCTAAGGTTATCCGTCAAAAATAAAACATATTATTAACAAATAAAATATATTAATATTACTGTCATCGTTATAAAACTACTACCATCGCTATTTTGATATAAACAGCTTTTAAATGTGAAAAACAGCTTGAGCAATCTATCACATTTTTGAAGGAAATTAAATAAGCATTTCTCTTCACATCTGTGCTGGTTTGACAGGTTCAGTGTTTATGAAGAGAAACACGATGAACAAAATCACAGCCATCATTTTTAAACCAGAAAATAGATTTTTTTTATTGTAAATTAAGTATTTAATAACTTATTATAAATGAAGTATTCTTGATTTTTAAATGCCGTCTGAAATATAGCAAGACCGAATGTATCTGTAGCTGCATCACTGAATTCTGACAGGTTAAACAGAAGTATTGGATCATCAAATTATCTATTTAATACATTACAAGTGTTTTCATGATGAATTTCGACAGTGTGATGATTAATGAAGCAGATGATAAACTCATTAGCTAGCTAGCTTCCATTAACTCAACATTTATAACATTTGCCGTCTTTCTGAGAAAACAAATCGACAATTTCCAATTATTTGGATGAAAGGCTTTTATCTTACCAATTTAACAGATGTTGTATGTAGATGCTTTGAATGTTATTGATTCTCGATCATTGGAACAATATTACGCTTTTTTCCCCAAGCACAATCCGACAAATGCAGGCGCGGGGCTTCATGGGTAATGTAGTCTCGAACGGTGGGAAATGTAGTTGTTCACAATCTTGTTGCAGTCTCTCCAACAGTGAACAAGGCAATTTCAATTACATCAAGAAAAATAAATAAAGAATAAAGGGTAAATCAGCATCTTGACAAGCAATTAGCATACATTAATTGCAACGGACAGTAATTCACAATGTTTTTTTTGCTTTGTTATTTCTTTTTTCTGTTGATGTGTATGGAGGCCGAAACCTGCAAAAACAATAAATAAATAAATGCACAAATAAATAAATAAATGTGTGCATAAATACACATATTCTTGTTTAAATACATATAGAAATAATTAAACGTGATGAAAGTAGGCAAATAAATAAAATAAATTGGTGGGCAAATGGAAAATGTTTAAGGAAATGCAAAACTTATCCTATTTATTTTCCTTTGATCACTCATTTATTTCTGAATGTAGTTCCACATTTATTTTTCCTCTGCACAACATGCTAATGAGAGGGTGTCAATTATGCAAGAGTAGGCGGATCGTGTGTGACGCGCTTGAGCGTTTGCCTGCGCATGCGTATTAACTTCATCAGTCAAGGGGACTGATTATTATCTTACACTTTTTCATAGGGTTAGTTTTGTAGTTATAATCATGAGAGAGCTAAATCATAAACGATTTTAAGTGGCCAATGTAAAAATATTAATGCTTACATAGCTCTTAATTGCAATACTGAACCGTTATTTGCTTAAAAAACATACTTTTGGAGTTTGGTCCCATCAGGCTAACGTGACAGTCACAGTAAGGTTTTCTTTTTCTTTAGTTTTTACTTGCGATCTTTACAACACGCATTACATTACGTATTTCATGGCACACTCGTTTTATGCGTATTTGGCACCACCTATTGTTGTGGGTGTATTATTGACATGTCAAAGTCTAGACCCTGAATATAAGACGACCAAGTTTTTTCAGATGTATTTCCAAGAAAAAAAACATTGTCTTATATTCGGGTCAATATGGTACTATTTCTGGCCTACTGGTTTTGATGAGTATTGTCAAAATCCCTTCATGTGTAACATGAAAGATTCAAAAGTACAGTAACAACATAAAATTAAGATGACAAGACATTCCTAAATGTTTCTCACTCAAATTTAATTGTTAAAGATTTCGACTCAACTCGAACCCAACATTACTGTATATACACCTACCTTTTGGTGTCCACTGAACCATTTTCCTTGGTTTCCATGACTGCTGGATAAAATAATAATAATAATAATAAAACAAAGTTTAATACATTCAATTTTAATCTATCATCACTGTTGTAGATTCTAAGAACTACTACAGTATGGGAGATGCATTATCAAAATTCAATCAACTGTGTCATGTTTAAGCAAATTCTAAATAATTTCTTGAGGTGCATAACAGAAGCTCTGCATTCATGTGAACAATAATCATCTTATTAATCTGATTAGCTCTGATCTATTAGCTCTCACCTGTTTGTCAGAGAGCTGAGACTGCTCTATTCCATTAGATGTGTTGAGTTGTCTCCTCATCAGTCTCCTGCTGTGCAAAGCTGCCCCATCTTCCAGAAAGTTTATGAATATATCTTGGTGTACTTAGAGAATTGATTCTGCAAAAAAAATTTAAGATCTGAGCAATAAAAAAGATGATCAAGCATTTATAGTTCAGCAAGTAGTTCAGTTCAGGTCAGTAAGACAAGAGAGACATGTTAAACATGCAAAACTGTGAAATACATCGTAAACTCTAAGGTTATCCGTCAAAAATAAAACATATTATTAACAAATAAAATATATTAATATTACTGTCATCGTTATAAAACTACTACCATCGCTATTTTGATATAAACAGCTTTTAAATGTGAAAAACAGCTTGAGCAATCTATCACATTTTTGAAGGAAATTAAATAAGCATTTCTCTTCACATCTGTGCTGGTTTGACAGGTTCAGTGTTTATGAAGAGAAACACGATGAACAAAATCACAGCCATCATTTTTAAACCAGAAAATAGATTTTTTTTATTGTAAATTAAGTATTTAATAACTTATTCCCATATATAATGAGTAAATTCACAATATAACTTATTTTAAAACCAAAACAATTATCTTAGAAAAAATAAAATAATGCCGTCAGACTACTGACATTTTGACATAAAAAAAAGTTATAAGGATAATAAACAAATAATAAATAAATAAAAAAAGCCATAAATTGTTAGTTGTTATAACAGGCTTTTAACACCAACTAAAATGCATTAACATTCTACTTGTATAATATTATAATATTAGCATCTTTCACAATTATACTCACAGACAAACAGAAGTGACAAAAGGCATCGGACATTATAAAGCAATGTAAATAATTTTCTTTAATTCAGTGTCAAAATAATTTGTCCCAAAATTGGACATCATAATCTCTACAGCAGATATAACATTTCTCTTTAAAAAAAGTATTCACGTGGTCCATATAAGAAGACAGATGAGAAGGTGCACAAATCAAAAGCCTATTTTCATTTTCAATTTCAGTGCAGTTCAAGACTTTAGATGAAATATCAGGATCATATATTTTTAAATACTTTCTTTACCTTTTGATATTTCTGAACATCCGAAAGCTTTCTTCAGCGCATATATTCCACAAACAGATATCGTGCACACACACACTTAAACATAACGTGGAATTGAGCTTTTCTCATGTATTAATACTGAACATATACTGCACATTTCTTTCATGTGTAACAGACATGAGTGAAAAAAAATAGTTCAACGCAGGAAAAATATGCTTTATTCATTTTATAAATTAATTAACATATAAAAGATGAACACAACTAAAAAAATCTCAACTTTAACCATAAATGTTTCCAAAGAGAAGACTATGTGATCTTTTTTTAATGCAGTAGACTAAACTTCACTGATAAAGGCACCTGTGAATTTCCAAATCTCCCCAAGTCTCTTTGAATGAAGCAATGTGGAAGGAATTGTGATGTTCTTGGATTCAACTTTGAAGGTGCATAACAAGACAAAGTACCCATGTAAACTTTTACTAAAGCCTTTACAGATACTCTAAAACTCCAAGAACTCTTTTGTACATTTCTCTGTAACAGATAACCGGATGTCTTCCTCGTCGTACTCATCAAAGTTACTTGTGTCTCCAGGTCCTTTGCACTTTGGTATGATGGGAGCATCAATCTGTAAAATCATTGAAAAAATAAACCAGCTTATAAGAGCAGTTCTCAAGAACCAGTTAAAAAATTGAAACCTGAAAGAAAACAACAAAGGTCACACCTTCTTCTCAAAGATTGCAATCCAGTCTGTTGTAGCGAACCAGCTGTGGTTTTTTATGTCGCTGACTCCATTTTTCAAATTGCCAAAGCGTTTTGTGAGGTCCACCTGCAGCAGATTGCGTAGAAGATCCTTCAGGTCTGAACTAAAGTGTGAAGGGTATCGTACCTGTGGAAATGAAATATTCACATCTGTTGGAAATGTCTAGAACATTTGGGGGATGGCATGAGTTTAATTGCCTCTGCCATTTATTCGTTTAGTTGGTCTTTTTTTCCCCCTTGTTCCCTGACTGTCAGTAATGTTTAACTTTTGTTAGCACGGGTTTTAAAGTATGCACAGAACAAAATGATCCTTTGGAACAACTTAAAAAATACTCAAATTATATTAATGTATTAATTATAGTAATTTTTTTATTAATGATTTATTTAAATACCATGCACTGTAGAACGTGTTCTGGATTTACATTGTTTATACATGCACATCAATTAAGTAATTTGTTCACATGACTTCCAAATCATTGAATTAAGTTATTTTGAAGTGACCATATTAACTAGTCTTAAAGTAGTTATGTGTTATATTATGTTGCAAAACTGTTTTGTTACATCACTGAATTATAAGATTGTACTAACTAACTAACTAACTATTAACAAACATTAGCACATATTAGCATAATAAATGCAAATTCTGCTCCTTAGAAAATCTTGTTCTATTCTATACATATCCATCCTCTGCCTAAGCAAAAGCTCCAATCTTCATCACAATGGTAACCTGGTGTAACTGAAATAGTTCTAAGTCCCAACATAATTAAACATCAAGCATGATCAAGTCTCCCCCTTTTCTCATTTTGCTTAAACACACACACAAACACACACGCACGCACGCATACACACACACAGGTTTGTTTTTGTGAAAAGTGGGGACTCTCCATAGGCGTAATGGTTTTTCTACTGTACAGACCATATATTCTATTGCCCTACACCAGGGGTGCCCAAACCTGCTCCTGGCGATCGACTGTCCCGCAAAGTTCAGCTCCAACCCTAATCAAACACACCTGAAGCAACTAATTAGGGTCTTCAGGATCACTTAAAAATTAAAGGCAGGTGTCTTTGATTAGAGTTGGAGCTAAACTTTGCAGTACAGTCGATCACCAGGAGCAGGGTTGGGCACCCCTGTCCTACACCAACCCTACCCCTAAACCTACCCCTCACAGGAAACTTTGTGCTATTTCAGATTTTCAATACACTCCATTCTGTGTGATTTATAAGCGTTTTGAAAAGTGGGGACTTGGGGTAATGTCCTGAAAAGTCACCTTCTCCTTGTAATACCTATGTCATACCTTTGTCATTATACAAATTTATGTCCTCATTTGTCACAAAAACGCGCACACACACACACACACACACACACACACACACACACACACTATTACTTACTATAAAGACATGTTATTTTAAAAATAATCATATTTTGCATGACATTTTCCATTATGTATAAAATAAATAAATACATTAAATGTAAAAATACATTAGTAATCCATATCCACACTTCCTCAGAAAATAAGTTCATCCCCTGTTGTCCTCTCACATCAAAACCACCAACATTTTTGTTACAACAGTTTTGGATTGTTTCCAATTGTAAACAGCAACAGATCTGTGCATATTTCTCTCCTGATTCAGATGAGGTGAATTTTCGCTGGAAAAAGCAATATTATGGATAGAGGACTTGCA